ATTTGGTTTTCTCTCTTTCTACATGGTTACCAATCATATTTATCTTTTCAGGGAACCAATTCTTGTTTCATTGATCTAAACCCACTTGAACCCACTTGAATGACTCAGTTAGGGTCATTACTAGGACATAGTGTGTAGGTAGGGTGTGACTGGAGGAGATAGGTCATTTGGGGCATGCCCTTGGGGTTTATATCTTGTCCGCAGCAAAGAGAGCAATCTCTCCCTTTCTCTCTCTCCTCCTGATTATCATGTCCTGAGCTGCTTCCTTCCACCTTTCTGCCATGATGTTCTTCCTCATCTCAGACACAGAGTGATGAAGTAGGCCATCTTTGGACTGAGACCTCTGAAACTGTGAGTTCCCAAAAACCTTTTCCTCCTCTAAAGTCATTCTTATCAAGTATTTTGATCAGAACAGCAACAAAGTTGGCTGAAACAGATGGGGTCAGAAATTCCTATCAGTAAATACAATAGTCACAAACTAGACCTGGCATTAAACAGCAGATATCAACTCTGCCATTCATAGTCCTATCAACTGCAACAACACGAATGTTGGGGGCACCAGTTTTGCAAACTAAATAGTTCTAAAAGAAAGTAAGCATACAGTTCATTAAGAGAACAAAAAATATTACAAGGTAAAAGAAAGTTTACAATGTTCCAAATATCAATAAAGAGAAAGCATAAGGAATATAGCAAGTGATCACTATAATAAGGAGAAAAAATAAAGAAACTAAGAGAATGAGAGAACAAGAGAATTTGGATATTAGAGGGAGAAGAAAGAAAGGAGAAGCAAAACAAAAAATAGACAAGAATTGTAAAAGATGAGATAAAGGTAAATAATAATCATAAAAGTTGCGAAAAAATAAGAAAAATGTGTATCAATGAACTCATTAGCACAGCAAGAGCACCAAAAAAGAAAACAAAAAAAGATTCTTAGTAAAAATGAAAGAATTTTCTCCATTGAGGTAGTCAGAACTATTGATGAGGAAGGATGATCACTGCTGATGCCCACCTATCCTTTCCATTTCTTCTTTGGTTATGTACCCCTCTTAGAGCATGGGCTAGGAGTTATTAACACCTTTCTCTTTTTGTTTGGCTCACTGAGTTGCAAGCTGGAGTGGCCTAAAACTGATGCTGGTTGTAGACCTGGAGCTAATTACCACACAAATAGGAATGGTAGTATTATGGTTTAGATGTGAGGTGTCCCCCAAAAGCTCATGTGTAAGACAATACAAAAAAGATTAGAAGTAGAATGATTAGGTTATGAGAGCCTTAACCTAATCATTGTATTAATCTACTTGAATAGATTAACTAGATCATAACCAGTATAAGGTAGGATGGAATGGGAAATAGTGTTATTTGGATTTTGGAGATCCATAATCTCCCAGATTGGAGCTGTTGCAGTGTGGGGGTGGGGAGTTCTAGTTGATGGTGTTTAACTCTAAACAGGCCTTTGGACTTTCTGGGTGCTATCTGCTCTGTAGAGTCTAGATCAACACACCCCTAGGGCTGGGAGATGCTGATCTGTGCTGGGAATCTGGATCTCAGAAGTCTCCCAAAAAATCTAGGGTAGGGGAGCCAATCCTCCATAGTTCTCTTATACCCCACTGCCCATAAATATGACTTTTCCAGGTTTAGTCTGTGAGTGTATTTACACTCACCTATTTGGTTTCCTGACCACCTTCAGACGATCTCATGAGCTTCCAAACCCAAAGGGAAAGCAAGTTGCTCTTCTCTCAATATCTCAGACTTGTATCTGGGTACAATTTTCTCTGTGCCTTTTTCAATCACCTTCTGCTTAGGTACACCCTAGGCCACACAGTAGGCACTTGCTGGGACAGAGTAGCAATATTTGCTATGACCTCAAGGGCTCCCACAGCAGCAGACTGCAGCATGGCCTCCTCAAGATAGTGCCTAGCCTCAACTCTCCACGTGCCAGGTGAGAAGTCCACGGCATTTTTCAAATATCAGTTTGCTGTGCAGCCTCTGGATCAGCTAAGTCCAGACTGCTTTTCTTCTCGACAGGTTTTTCCAAGTCAAATATGTCCATTATGTTTCTCTCTGTGTGTTATCCTTACTCTCTACAATTAGTTGATGCTGCTGCTGCTGCTATCACAACAATCATCTTGGCTTTAATGAACTCCTTCTTGCCCTTTGCTCAGTGCACACAAATCTTAGTCCAAAACACTATGACTGCATCATACTGAATTTCAATGAAGTCCCTCTTTCAGACACTCTTCTAAAAAGCAGCAAATCCACTGCTTGAATCCTGAGCCACAGAGCAAATGGAAACACAGCCTTCCTCTAATCTGACATCTTGAATCTCTTTCAAAAGAATTTTTTGACTCAGATGGCCATGGTCTGCTTGCAGGGTATGCCTCTGGCAGAGACTTTTGTCATAGTATGAGGCAAATCTGCATGAAAACCACTTATGACTCTTGACCATATTTATTTTTTGTGAGAGTTGACCACAATGAGCCCATTTTGGTTTACACCATTTTCACATTTCTTTCAGAAATTAATCAAGCTACCATCATGAATAGAGTTTGTAAAATCACCTTGTATGGTCTGGAGTGGTGGCTAGAGCACTTGCCTAGCATATGTGAGGCTCTGGGTTCGATTCTCAGCACCACATAAAAATAAATAAAAGTGCCACCAAAAACTAATAAAATACTTTTTTAAAAAAAAATCACCTTGTAACCTGAAATACCATGAAGACTTCCTAGGGACATAAAACTGCCCAAGGAGACCTGAATCAAATGGAAATGGTTTTCACAGGACCATGCTATAGAGGGAGGCAGGAAGGAGGTAGTCACGAGCACACAACCCATTTCCCTAGGATTGGAACTGTGTAAAGAGCTGCTGGGGTCTGTCAATACTTGGACCAAGACCTAGAAACAGCTCTTAGCTGACCATAGAGACCCACTTGGTTTGTGGATGGCACAAACCAAGTGTGAAACAATGTCGGATTTCCATAGAAGCTGTTGTAACTGAAGTAGTTTATGGGTGACAACTCCAAGGTGAAATGACAACTCCTATTTCCATGGAAGCTGCTCTATCTGAAGAAGACAACAAATCAGCTCAATGGGTTCAATTGCATGCTTAGAAATTGAATAGTAATAAAAGCTCCTGTGTTTGTCTTGGTGAGAAAATTAACATAAGACCAAGACTGTTGGTAATGATTATGTCACACAAATATTTGCAAGTTTACATCCGATGACAGGAAAAGTGTGATACTCAGCATACAGGAATATCCTGGCAATAGCTCAAGTCCTGCAGAAAGGAAAAAATGGAAAATAATTCTGAGTTCTTTCCTTGCCAGTCTCATATTTTGGTGCAACACGTTCGCAACGTAGACTCCTTAACTTCTCAGGACAACAATAGGAGAAGATGAACTCACAGAGGTTAATTAGTTTGTCCCAGGGCCCACAGCAAGAAGGCATGTGGGGTTGGAGCCAGGTGCTCCAGTTCCAGCATTCTTATCTCTTCAAGTCCACTTAGGCCAGCTGTGTATCTCTGGTTCTCCTGCAAATACAGATCACACCAGAAAAGCAACTGGGTCTTCCAGCTATGACAGATGCTAAGTCCTCAGTGTCTTGGACAAGGTGGGACCTATGGCTCCACCATGAAGTCCCCAAACTGCCCTCTCCTAGCTCTCAGGGTACCTGAGCACTAACAGTGAGGGTTCACTTCCATCTGTGATTTGGGCTTTGCTCCCTGTCTAAGCAGTTCCTCTGAACCAGTTCCTGAAGGCAGCAGCAAAGGAGACTCAGAGGAAGCAGCAGGGGCAAGAGATTTAGCCAGAGCAAGGCCACTCTGAGGCCAGTCCCACCTCCTTCTCATACCCCTACCCTGCCCTCCTCCACTACAGGGCCTTCCTGGAATTGCCTGGAAGGGAAAGGAGGCTGGAGAATACAAAATTTAGCAGAGGATTAAGGAGACAAGCAGTTCTACCTGGACCCCAGAAAGGGCCTTCCCCAGCCCAGCCCTTCCTCTCTGATTGTCCCCCTTGCAGTTCTAGTGCCCTATGACCAATTTTAATCCAATTGGCTTCTTTACACTCTGCCTCAGAAAAGTTGGTTTCAAACAGTCAGTGCTGCAGAGGAAAGTAAGCAAGGCTTGGAGGCTGAGCCAAGGTGGATCCTCCGCTAGAAGTATGTGCTTAGAGCTGTCCCTGATTTCTCTGAGCCTTGCTCTCCTCACCTACACAGGAGACAGGGACATCCCATGAGATAACTAGGAAAGGAAGGAAACAAACTAGAATTTGTGTGTAAATTATAAAGCACAAGTAGGATATTGACGCAGACAGCATAGAGCACACAGTGGGCTTCATGGGCTAATTTAAGGTGACAATGTGCTTGGCAGAGTCATTCCTGAAGGATTGGAGGTGCCTGAAGACACTGATGTTGTAGCACTTGGTCGTTGCAGTGTATGTACTTTGGAAGCTGATTTATTTTCAGGATCAATGTCTGCTTTTGATAATATGTGATAAGAGACATTCCCATTAATCTGTTGATTACTCTGCTATCGCACACCCCATAGCTGTGCATTTGATATGGTGAGGCCAAGGTTAGCTTCCTGTGCTACAACCCTGCCTCTACTTCTTCAATTCCAAATCCACACAGGATTCCTCATTCCCTACGGAACTAAATTCTGATCCTTCCCTCACGTCCAACTCTGCACAGCCTCAGCTCTCTTATTAAAATTGATGAATGTCTCATTACTCTAACAATTCGAATGACCTAGACACACTTATAAGCTCACTGCTCATATTCATATTCATATTGAAATGGGATTAAAAAGAGTCATCTGTTCTTTCCAAGTAAATTTGACACATTCTGATTTGTGAGCTTTTTGTTACTAGTTGTTTCTAGGGAAGGTGCCCCTAACTAATATCTTCTCACTATGACTGTCCTTGAAAACCTAGCTGATTGTCACATCTCTGAGGAAACATCCAGGATCATTCAGAAAGCTTTCAATGATCTGCCTTTGTCCCCACAGAGTTGCAGACAAAGACCAAGGTGACATGGCTGGAAGGAGATATTCTGGATGCCCAATGCCTGAGGACAGCCTGCCAGGGCCTCTCACTCGTCATTCATACAGCTGCCATGATTGATACCGAGAGTTTCATTCAGAGACAGACCGTCATAAATGTCAATCTGAAAGGTAGAGTGGCCTGGGATGACATGGGACAGGTGAAGCTGAGGGTAGCAAAGCAGGATCAGGAGGGGTAAAGAAGCCCCCGTCATGGAAACCTGCGGTTCTCTGGGCCAGTTGTCTTTGCTCACCCATCCCAGCTGACAAAAGCTCAGGGATGTTATTCTGAGGGTTTTACGTGAGGAATCCAGGGCTGAGATAGAGCAAGGCCCCCCAGGTAATCTCACACCTTTGTGGTCCATCTGCCATGAACCTCTTTCTACTGTTCCTTGATTCCAAACTTACCTGATTCTCACTCCAAATTCTTTTATTTTAAAATTTGCTCTTTTTAGATATGCGTAACAGTAGAGTGTGTTTTGACATATTACACATACATGGAATAAAATTTCCCATTCTTGTGGTCATACATGATGTGGAGATTTACTGGTCTTATATTTATAGATGAAGCTAGGAACGTTATATCATCTCGGCTGTCTTTCACATAGCCTCTATTATTGATATCTTTGATGCCAGACAGACCATCATGGATGTCAATGGGAAAGGTAGAGTGGCCTGGGAACGAGATGGAGCAGATAGAGCCGAGGGTGGCAAAGCAGGATGAAAAGGGTAGACAAGCTCCTGCCCCCCGCCCGCCCCATGAAATACCTCCTGTGCTCTGACTCAGGTGTCTTTGCTCACCTATCCCAGATGAAAGAGCTGAGAGCCGTATTCTCAGGGTTTTGTTTGAGGAATACAGAGCTGAGACAGGGCAAGGAACCTGGCCAAGGCCCAATAGGAAAATGGGAATTTAAACTCACACCTGTGTGAGTTCGTCTGCCATGAATCTCTTTCTGCAGCACCATTATTCCAAACTCACCTTGAGTCTCCAAATTCTTGAGATCCATCCACCCCCTGTCTGCCTGGGCAGAAAAGACTTTGCAGGTGCCTCCTCCTTCATGCTTCTAGCTCTTGTATCAGGGCTAATGAGAACATCCAGAGCCCTCCTGCTCACCTCAGAGAAGTATTCTTCTCCAGAACACTAGCAAAGCAGGCCTGCAGAGGTTTGCTGAGACACAATGGTCCAGCACTCGCCGCCAACCCACGATGCTTTTTTTCCAGCAATCATCATTACCCATTGTCCATAATACTATCTCTTCATCTCTCTCTGAGTCTACTCTTGTGGAGCAGGTCCTACAGGGGTGACCAAAGTAACCCCTCCTTAGACTCTCATTACTAAACACTAGGTGCCTCTTTATAATTTGCTGACTTCTTTTACTTCAAATTAGACACATTTGCCTAAGGAAGCTGGTTAGGCTGAGCCCCAGAGGCCAGTCACTCCCACACCAGTGCAACCCAAGCCCTGGCCCTTCTGTCCTCAATGCCTTGATCTCCACATTTAATTACTCAGAGACTCCTTTTCCAAATCCACCAAAAGGAGCGTGTTGCTCTTTCACATCATTACCTAAAAAACAAACAAACAAACAAACCAAAAAACCCTTCCTGGTTCCCATATTGCCGTGTCCTTAACAGAACCACACACACACACACACACACACACACACACACACACACACACTGCAGGATGAGCTAGGACTAACCAGAATTTCATTACTACTTCCTGCCTCATGAAGCCTACCCTCTGCTTCATCCAACAAACATGATTTGAAATGAAAGAGGCATTGTAGGAGGTACAAATTACAAATATGTTGTCAAGGCTTAGAAAATACTACACAGTTGTGCTCATTTTTTCCCTGTTAGAAAACTAATCGTACATCTTCTAGAGAACATTTTATATTTTTTAGAAAACCAAGGCTCTCTCTTCAGAAAATCAGATTGCAAGAATACTCTAAATGACAAATAAATGAATTCCTATATAAATAATCCTCTGTCAGGGACATTCCATCCTTCTTTAAGGCAAGGCAGATCTGCACTACTCCAGGACCTGAAGGTCTTCACTATTCCATGAGTTCCACAGAATTCTAATATTAGAGGTGCTTCAATAGAAGGCTCACCTTTCATTTCAATTTCAACCAGGCTCATCAGAAAAGTTCACTGCAGGTCTCCAGAATGCTAAGTAAAGGGAATGATGATCATCTCTTCTGTTCACAACTAAGTAAACAGAGTCGTAGGGTTCGAGGGACCTTTGAGGAAACACACATTTAGTAACAGAGGCTGGGTCTCCAGCACCTCCCCAAATTTCGATAACCATTTACTCAGTGACTTAAACAATATCCTTGTGACAAAGTTTTTATTGGTCTTCAACAAATGTAAAGCATGGCAGAACTGTAATGTCTATTAAGCTGTGCATTTTGCCCATAAACCACTGTGCATGAGCTTATGTAATGTAAAATCCCAACTGTCCTTGAAAGTATGGTCTTCTGAATTTCTAGAATTAAAAAGGATCTATCTTTAATGAAGTGAGATGCATGACAAATGTTTTTATTTATTTCTTTACTATTTTCTTGATGGTGATAGGAACCAAACCTGTGACCCAATACAGGCTAAAGAAGTACTCTACAACTGAGTTATATTCCCAGTGCTAATGGGATTTTGTTAATATTCAGTTTGACAAAATATAAACTGGAAACACTATGAACATTTTTTTTTGCACTAGGGATTGAACCCAAGGGCACTATAACACTGAGCTACATCCCCTTTTTATTTTTTTATTTTGAAATAGGGTCTTGTTAAGTTGCTTAAGGACTCACTAACTTGCTGAGGTTGGCTTTGAACTTGTGATCCTCCTACCTAGCCTCTAGAGCCACTGGGATTACAGGTATATACCACCACACCTGGCTTCTATGTACAGTTCTAAAATCAAACTATACACACACCATCACAAATACACACATATTACAAAGTACAGACAGGTCTATGGGCCCACATACAAGAAATTCTTCATTATAGAATACAAATGTCAATCTCTTTTCTGCATTTTCCTGGGACTTTACCATGGCAGATGTAAATCTATGGCAAGGAATAATGTACTTGGATCAGGAGTAAACTCCTCTGTTGGGATAATAGATGGAAATATGGGAGACTCTGTGGCCATGGTGCACTCTTAGGTTATTTCCTGACACTGACAACTTGCTCCCCATGAATAGGTACCCAGCTCCTGTTGGACGCCTGCATCCAAGCTAGTGTGCCATTCTTCATCTACACCAGCTCAATAGCGGTAGCTGGACCCAACTCCTACAAGGAGATTGTCCAGAATGGCCACGAGGAAGAGCATCATGAAACTACATGGACTGCTTCATACCCCTACAGCAAAAAGCTGGCTGAGAAGGCTGTGCTGGCAGCTAATGGGAGCACTCTGAAAAATGGGGGCAACCTGTGGACTTGTTCCTTAAGGCCCGCATACATCTATGGGGAAGGAAGCCCTGTACTTTCTGGAATTGTGAATAGGGCCCTCGAGAACAATGGAGTCCTGGAAAATACAGGAAAGTTCTCTGTAGCTAACCCGGTCTACGTGGGCAATGCGGCCTGGGCACACATTCTGGCCTGCAGGGCTCTGAGGGACCCCAAGAAGGCCGTGAGCATCCGAGGACAGTTCTACTACATCACAGATGACACACCTCACCAAAGCTATGATGATTTCCGTTACAACATGTCCAAAGAATGGGGCCTCCGCCCTGACTCCAGGCTGAGACTTCCTCTCTCTCTGAGGTACTGGCTTGCCTTCCTGTTGGAGACAGTGAGCTTCCTTCTGAGTCCCATTTACAAATATCAACCTCCCTTTAGCCGCTATTTACTGACAACATCAAATAGTGTGTTTACCTTCTCCTACAAGAAAGCTCAGCGAGATCTGGGTTATAAGCCCTTAAACACCTGGGAAGAAGCCAAAGAGAAAACTGTGGAGTGGATTGGCTCACTGGTGGAAAAACACAAGGGAGCACTGAAGAAAAAGACTCCCTGATGGGCAGATGGCAGGGAAGGGGCCCGGGTTTTGTCAGGAGCTATATGTCGAGCTCCTCTACCTGGCTCCCTCCAGAAAGTGACCAGTGAACCATCCCAGGTTCTTTGACACAATGGGTACAACGGGAATGACACAACTTAGAGGTTTCCTTGAGCCACCAGGAGCCTCTTGGTTTTATTCCCCCTCTCCTGTGCTAAAGCATTTCTTTTCTTTGGACATCTCCCATTCCTTCATAAAACTTAATGAAAACATCAAGCTGGGTGTAGGGGCACATGCCTACGACTCAGGAGTCTGAAGCAGGAAGTTCGCAAGTTCAAAACCCGCCTCAGCAACTTCGAGAGGCTCTAAGCAACTTAACAAAACTCTGTCTCAAAATATTAAAAAAATTAAAAATTAGAAAAAGGGCTGATGTTTAATGGCTAATCTCAACTGGGTTCAATCACTGGTACCAACCAACCAACAAACAATAAAGGACCCAGAAACTGTCATGGCAGAAAAGACCAAAAAATTTAAAATGCATACCAGGAGAAGGGTGTTTCTATGAAGACATTTTTCCACTGTCCCTTCCAAGTCCATGTATGGCCACCTTTTGGTCAAAACAAGAGGATGGAACTAGGAGGGGAGAGAAGTGATAGGATCTGAAGGGGACTTGAGATTGACTATAATGTATGAGGTTTGGGGCATGAACAGAATTCCTGCACCAGGCCCACAGATCAAACACAATGGAGTCCCTCCTGCTAATCTCCACACCCCAAGAAAAAGATGTCAATCTAACTTCACAAAATCAATAGCTATGTTTTTAAACAGGCCAGGTGGAGCCAGCATGACAATGATGTGCACTGTGCTTAACATTTACAAGAAAAATAACTTTGAAAAATAACTTTGAAAAACCCTTTTGTTTATTCTGTCTGGTTTGGTTCTCTTTAGCCCCTTCATACCCTTGAAAGCCACCTTGTTTGGTAAGTTCATTGAACATCCAAAGTTTGATGGATGTTGTCTGTATCTCAAACCACAATTAAAAGCTAATTAACATCTTTAAACTCAATCTATTTAAGGTTTGCATTTTGATACCTGGGAATATACAAATCACTAATTCTGTTGAGTTGGGCTATCACTAAGGGTATAGCTTAAGATTTTCTTCTGAGCAACAAAGAGAAAAAACACTGAGGAGCCACGTGCAACTCTTCAAGGGACAGAGAATCAGCAGTGAGCACAGGGATAGAGTGTTCCCAAGTAGTAGGGTAGATAGAGTGTTCCCAAGTAGTAGGTAAGGTGGAAAATGTAGCCTCCCCTCTGTCAGCTTAGATGTCTGAAAAACAAAAGCCAGTGCAGCCCAGCTCTGCTGAGGTATGCACACCTTCCCCAGGTCTCAACCAGCGCCACAGGGAGCATCATAGGATGTCCATGAATAGTTGGCAAGGAACCTCTCTCACCTTTTCAGACAAGTGAAATCCATCACTCTACCTATCAGGGCAGTCTCACAGGGATAGGATGAGGCCTCATCTCCAAAAGGAAGACAAGTAGCATGAAGGGATTGGACAGTGGACCTGACTGAAAGAGCATCAGGCCTTGAACAACAAAGTCCACTATCTCTACATGCACTGGCACAGAATGCCAGGCAGTGGGAGCTTCTGCACACAAGCCTGTGTGCACCACATAAAATGCACCACAGAGGGGCAGCAGAGACAGGACAGAGAGTGGCAGCCTGCACAAGCCCTTCCCTTCCCTTCAGTATATGGGCACTCTGCAGCCTCTGGCAAGGAAATAAGAGAACAGACAGGTAGGTACTCAGCCACTGGCTAAAGTTGTATGAATAACTGAACACGGAGACAGCAACTGAGTTGGCTAAAATATAGTGTTGGCTAAAATCTCAGAGTGCAGATGAGAATTAAAAGCCAAAGAAGTCCATGCTGGGAACCAGAATAACAGAAGGTGAAGTGGCCAGAAGGTGATAGCCTGAGCCAGAACTTTCACAAAATGAGAGCACCAATTTTTATCTCAATGTTTTGATCCCTAAATATCGCAAATTAACTCTAAACATTAAAAAAAAAAAAAGTTTAAAGACCAGTTCCAGGAAAGGAATATGTGTGTGGAGTTCCAAGTTTAACTGTAAAATTATGTTTCTTAAAAATGAGGTGCTCAAGGTAACAGTCTATTCTAGATCCCACTGTACATTTTATCTTCTTTTAGGCTTTCTGCATGTTTGAAATAGGCCGTAATTTGTTAAAAATAAAATCACTCTCATTGGAATAGAATGTGCGAACTGAGAAAATGTTACGTGGCCTGAGCCAGTGCTATGGGTTACACCCTTCCATGTGTGTTCCCAGACTCTGGTCCAGTTGGGAAATACAATGTGAGACCAGGTGGTTGCTGCACACTCAGGAAACTGTGCAGAGCACACAGAGGATCCCTCCTGGGCAGCGGCTCAATAGGCCCAACCAATTGGACTGGGTGTGGAGAGCAGGAGGATTCCACAGGCAGAAAGGTGAGGGCAATGCTCCAGACAGAGACAGTGGAATCTGCAGAGGCCCTTGCAGGAAAGGAGATCCTGCTCCTGCGCAAGGAGACATGTCTGGGCCACACAGAGAGCTCAGGTGCAGACCAGAAGTGGAGGATACACCTGCACAGGCATGAGGGACACAGGCCTGAAACACCTTGGTCTCCTCAGGAGATACCCACTCCTTCTTTCTTCGCCTCAGAGTACACCTTGTGTGCTCCTTCTAGAGAGCACTGGACATTCTATTACTTTCCACTTTTATGCCTCATCTCCTCCAACATTCCGACTCTATGGCAAAAGAGGTCATCTCCAACAATAATAAGTAATGAGAGTCACAGAGCAGATCTGGGCACTCACCACTCAGTTTGCCATGGGAGGCAGTGAAGGTCTCTCTTTGTTTTCCCAGAAAAGATCACTGCAGCATCACCCCTGCAGGATGGATTGCAAGAGATGAGGAGGATGCTTGAAGTATCCGGGCACAATGGCACATGACTATAATCCCAGTGATGAGGGAGGCTGAGGCCAGAGGATCCCAAGGTCAAGGCCAGTCTAGGAAACTTAGTGAGAAATGTCTCAGAGTAAAAAACAAAATGGGCTGGAAATGCAGCTCAGTGGTAACGTGCCCCGGGTTTCAATGCACAGTGCAGGAAAGAAAGAAAGGGAGGGAGGGAGGGAAGGAAAAAAAGAAAAGAAATGGGAGAGAGGGAAAGGAAAGGAATGGAATTAAGTCCAGAGATGGTGGCCTGGGGTATGTCACATTAACAAAATGTAATGTGGGGTGCAGGCCAAGGCAAGCCAGGGCAGAGTGGACAGACTGAGGTGGTCACATCGGTCCCATGCAACACTCTCTCAAACCATAAACCTGATGGCATCCCCTACTCCTCCTCCTTCCTCTCATTCAGTTCTACCCATTCTACCTCCAAAATAACATGCTATCTTCCTCCCTGGTCACCCAGCCTTGGTCCAGACCCCTGTCATTCTTTGTCTAATCCCCCACAGGGCCTCCCTGCCTGGGCAGTCACCCATTAAAGCCATTCTGAGCATAGTTGCCAGAGATGTCTCTCCAAAAATCACATCAAACTTGGCCACTTTCTCCCTTAAAACCATTGAGTAGAGCCCCAGGACAAGGACAGGTCTGACAACCTGAGTATAATACCAAAGGCCTGAAGACTTACCCCTCTACCACCTCAGACTAAATTCTTGCCAATCCCTGCTCTGTCCCTGCATTATCTGACTTGATGCTACAACCACATACCATGATTTGGACCTTCCTGATTACTTTGTACTTCTTTATATTCCCACTTGAGTACGAAGAATTCCTACTGCTTAGAGGGTACCTAGCTCTCTTGCTGACACATCCTTCTCAGTTCCTTATTCATCATCAAAAAACCTTTCGTTTAAATGCCCCCCTTCTTGTGCATACCTAATTAAAATGCATGTATATATTTATTCATTCACCTCCCTCTGCACCTCCAAGTCCTGAAGACAAACCCACTCCTTCATCTGTGTGTTACCCGCCCTGACCCAAGTGAGCTCAAAGGATCAATGTTTAGATAGATGATGGACACACAAATAGTGAAACAGAGCACAAACAAACTCAACTGAATTGAGGACATATGGAAGGAAAGGGAGTAAAGGAAATCCGAGAAGCAGACTGTGTGGACGACAAAGGAAAGAGATACAAAATTGCCTCCAAGGTGTCAATGAACCTGAAGAATTATGTCATCATTAGGAGAATCAGAATCAAGAGGAGAATCCTAGACTTCCCTGGTATTTGTGGCAGCGAAGGGTATTCATTTAACTGTATGGGGAGGACTGAATGAGCAAGTTAGTAAAAGGAATATGAGAGAGAAAATAGAGAAGTCTTCCGTGAAAGTAACACCACCTGCAAAGATTGTAATGGGAATGGAAATTAGACATACTCCTGAAACAAAGTAAGGCCCTCAGCACTTTTATGCTATGAAAAATAGGAAAATTCTATTTTTAAATACTAGAACTTTATGACATTTTCCAATTTAAAGTCATATTAGGAGACTCGAGATAAGGACACCTTGTTCCCTCTGTAGCAAGTGCTTTGCACATCAGAGGACTCTGGGGGAATTTCTTACCTTTTTCTTGGCTCAACATCACACAGGAAGGTAATGAGCAGGGAATGGAGTTGGGTTCTGAAGCATGAAAGAGGTTCATCAGGAGGAGCAGAGGAAAAGAGAGAATTATCACATTGTACATTGCCACCCTGTCCTCAAAAACAGGGGACACTGAGTCACTTGCAATTTCTGGGGCAGTCATAATATTTTCTACAATTCAGAAGCTCCCTAGGAATATACCGTGTAGTGCATCCTCAGAACACAAGGCCCAGCAACAGCAACATCAGCCCTTTTGCCAGAGTAGGTGCAGGAGACACGGGCATGGACTAGACATGGAATGCTGGCCTGTGGTCATCCTGGAATGGACACTGGCCATGACTACAGAAGCATCCTTTTCAGGACCCCACAGCTCACTTTTTCCTGCACTGGCCGGAGTATGTCAAGTCACTGTGAATATTAGCAGGAGAATATCACAGGCACGGAGAAGTACAGACACTGGGGCCTCCATATTAGGCTTAATTAATGGCCTGAATAGGATTCCCACATTAATACTTTGTTGGCAAAATATGGAGTCAGTCCTCAGTATGGTCAAGTTTTTCCTCTAGCCTAAAGATATGTGCTTCTTGCTATCGCTATTTACCTCCCAGAAACCAGGGACATAAAGTGACTTGCCAAGCCCTCAAAACCATCAGTAGTAGAGTAGGGCTATGCCTCCCCTCTGACATCTACTTGACTCTAGAATCTACCAAGATCCGTCCAGCTTGTGATCTAATGTGCTCCTCCTCCAACACCTCACACCTGTACCTTCCCCTGCACAGATCCAGTCAAGGTCTCATTTCCACCTGTGGCTATACAAGGCCAGCAACAGTTTGGCTCTGAAGTCATGAACATGATGTCCACAGCACAGGTAGACTTCAACCTACAGAACAGTAGAACTACCTCAGTAAACCTCCCATGATGCTTTCATCACTTTTACTTAGATGCTTGCTCAGGGTATATCTAGCAACACATGAATCTAGCCAGAGCTTTCCCAATCCTGTGTCTATTAGTCTCTCCATGGCACACACTGCCCAAGTAAAGTGGCTATTGCCCAATTTGCAGCACTCGTTACATGATGATCTACCGTTACACAAGAACTCTGGAGAGATTCTATTTTATGCTGCTTTGCTGAATTACCATTTCCCTCATGCAGAGCATGTGAAGTCTTTAGACTTATGACATCCTCTTATCCTCACCATCACTGCCCCCTCCAGACACATCAATAGTCTCACAATCTTACAAAATAATTCAGCACCAGGAAGCTGTTGTTGATGGTTGACAGGGAACAAAACCAGCCTTTAACCTTGGATAATATGGCAGCTTCTGCATCTCTCTTTTACCTATTTCCCCCACATGGAGCACTATGCCTATTATCTCTCCTGATGTCTTGCGTAATTATAGATCATCACGTCTACAAGTGTTGTGAATCAGGCAACGGGTACTTTGTCTGGCTTTGTTGGGCAGTGGGTGCCCTTGAAAAGGTTAGCAGGGGCAGGCCTGGTCACATTCATTTATGGAACAAACTTCTCAGAAAATCTGCTGTGAATCATGCACTGCCTTGCAGCATGGGGGACATTGCTTATACACGACAGCTTCCTCAGGACATTATGGGAACACCTGTGTAGATCCATTTAGCCCTTGTGGTTCAGAGAAGTCATCAATGTTGTCTTCTGTGAATCAAATTATAGCAGTGAACTGCTTCCAATGACTCCATGGTTTCTAGTACTGGATCTGTCCATCCTGCAACTTTGGGGGAAGTTTCTCCACATGTAAGAACAGAACACCAGCTTGAGCCCTTTATACACACATATCTTTCTCAACCTTCTTAAACATAGGCCAACTTGATATCGACATGCCTTGCCAGGTCCTCATGGGTACAGAACGCAAAGAACTTCATACTGCTGTGATGAACAGGTTACTGGATGCGCTCAGAGTAGGATGAAGAGTACCTTATACTCCCTTTGAGCAGGTAGAACTGGAAAACCTTTGGAATGTGAGTTAGCAGAGATGACCTTGAAAGCCCAGGCTGGCAGCAGGCAACTGAAATCTGGAAGCACCTGAGGCTCTGACAGGAAAACAGGAGGCCAGCACTAGGCAGTTCATGCTAGAGACTGGCTGGACAAGTTCCTCCCCTTTGCCACTGGTGCTAAAGGGGACATGGTCATTGCAAAGGGCAGCTGAGAAAAGTGAGAAGTGCTCTGGTCAATGAAAGAGTTGGGGGATGAAGGCCAGAAAGGAGGGATGAGGGCTAAATGTGAGAGGAACATACAGACAAAGGCCAGTGGTGGCCTTCATGCCCCCTTCCTGCATTCTCTGGTGAACAGCAAAGACAGGCACTTGGTCGGGCCCTGACCAGTATCTTCCCACTTGGGGAAGGTGTATGGAAGGTGGTCTCCAGGAGCCCTTGATAGAAAAGCCTGGGAATCTTACAATGCCCTTTGCCTTTATTCCCTGCTTCCTGACTTCTGCAGGAAGAAAGGAGGTCCTTAACTGGTCCTACTGGGTTCTCAACCCTGTTTGCTATTAAAATTTCCTGGGCTGCTTTCATAAAATTAGACACTTAGGCTTCATTGCAATTCATCAATAGCTAGATTTAAAAAGTAAATGTACAAAAACCTCTCCAAGGTTGAGAACGTCTCTATTGAATTAATCAAACCCAAGAATTCCCAGAGGACCAGATATGGTTCCTCTCACTGGTTTGTTGCAGAATCCTGCTCTACCTGCCCATTCAAGTGGGGCAACTCTTGGGGTATAGACCCAAGGACCAGATCCTCTGTTGAGCTTCTGAAAGGCAGGTTTACCAAGTCTGGAGTTTAGTGTTTTCAAGAGATGCCTGTGGAAGCAAGAACTGGTCTAGTTGATGCTTTCAAAAGTCAGGCATTGCAAGGAATGTGATAGGCACAGCTTCTGGGACTGAAGCTTCCTAGGGACATGCCTGCCCAGGGCCTGGCTGGGAAGGGAAAGGGCTAGTGCACAAACAAGGAGATAACCGTGATCATTAAAAGCAGCGTGGATTCAAGCTTCCTCCTACCTCTGTCTTTGTGATTCCATCCTTAGGAACTGCTAATGTGATGTCTATTTGGCTGAGTAGAGAACTAGCTCAGACTAGCAAAAAGGTCAGTCTAATTCTTACATTCCCTTCAGTATTATCAGTAATCACTAATTTACATTTTTGAACTGAGGGAAAGAAAATATTTTGTTATGTGATTCAGGAATACATTTTATATAGATTAGATTGGAAACGGAAGTTCCTTTCTCCAAAACTACTTGTTCTTGACCTTTCTCCTAATCCCCCCCACACTAATAAGGCACAAAGACAGATCTTTGGAAACACTTTGGTAACACTTTCCCAACATGCCAAAACCACTTTAGTCTATGTGTGCCACTCTGAGTTACTAGTAAGAATGTGTAAACTATTCAGATTTCAGATTTTAGCTAATTTGTGAATGATTTAGGATCCATATGAACTTTCTACTATAAGAGTCAGAAAACTGTTATTTTTTTAAAGCTATAGATAGTAAATATTTTAAGATCATGGCCCATGTAGCTTTTGTCACAACCTCTTAGCTGTGCCATGCAGCATGAAAGTTTCCATAGGCAATCTATAAAGGTGACTTCATGAGTGACACTATATTCCAATAGGATTTTATTGACACAGAGTCAGGCCAGATCTGGTAGTTTGTTAGTGCCTGTTTTAGCAGCACATAGCTTCCACAGGTTGAACTGAGTGACATTTAACAAATAACAAACAAGGAAGAAAGAATGACAGAGTAAAAGACTGATAAGGATTTAATGACAAATATTCCATATTGATTGATGAACATTAGAATACTGTCCAAGGAACCATCATTAAATAAAATGACCTGAAAACAAGGCAATTCTCACATACACAAGCACATTCACATAAAACCTGTTACTCTTAAGATTATTAAATTACTATTTTAACAAACAGATGTAAAATAACATTACAGTGAAGAAAAATGTGCACAAACTTCAGAAACACAGTTCAGATTGTCTATGAACACAGATTCTTAATTTGTACTTTTTTCACATATGTACAGCCTCTTGATTGTACAGAGACCACACGGCTCAAAGGGTTAACATCTCATTTTCTTCTTCCAACTTAGAACTCAAGATTTAATCAAAACCATTTCACGTCTAAACTGCTCCAGGTTTTGCTTAGTGAAGGGCAGCAGAGGAAGCCTACTCTGGACCAAACTCACCAGGGAACAAATATTAATAATTCATTTGCCTCCATCATCATCAACAAGTTGGAGTAAGGAATCTTTAACACCATCAAGGATGAACTACAATTAATAGGGTTTACCGAAAAAATACTACTATTCTAAAACTTAAGACAAGAAACAACCTCCTAAATGTATTTAACCTCACTTAATGCAGGTATTTTCCCTGAAGAAGTGTAAGAAAAATGGACTCACAAATTAAATACACCCTGGGAGTGGGATTTTGATGGTTATACAGCTTTCTTCTGCTAAAGGCTTTGCTCATAGAAAAGACATTGACATGATGACTGATTCTCTTATCCATGGTAATAGAAAGAACAGAGGCAAATGAAGTTCAAGGATTTCTACTGCCTTCATTTCACATATTCACTTTCCATTGAACCCTCTTCTCAAAGCTGCTGATGATATGTAATATATTTGATGCTGATGAGACTGTGCATAATGACGGCAGCAAAAGACCAAACAACCAGTAAAGTAGATAATCAATCCACGAGTAATCAAAAGTTGGAAGAGATTTCACAGGCACAGACTTGAAAGAACTTAAAACAGATGGAAGAGGTAGATGTGCATGGGGAAAAAAAAAATAAAGGAATAAGATTACCTATAAAGTGGCTACATTATTTTTAGGTGATCTTGTACACTTGGTATTCAATTTAGACTACAAGAGTCATTATAAATAATGGAAATGTAGTTTGCTGGTATAACTCTTGATTAAAAGAAAATTTAAAAGAATTAGTGTATTTTGAAATTATCCCTAGTATGAACATCTATTTGTATTTATGAATAGCAGTAAACTAATTCAGAGGGCAAGATCAACAAGCAACACACAAACCCAGAATTTGCAGAATTTTTTTCAGTGTTCTTATAATGACAAAAACATGCTTTTCCACAGTCCCCAAAGTTCTTTGCTAGAATACAACAGATCAAGTATAAATTACTAGCATTCACAGAAACTTTGCTAAAACTGTAAAAACCGTCTTGTAGCTTTATCCCCACCCCCCTTCAACTGTGTCCAACAGTTTATGAAGATGCTTCTATGAATAGTACAGGGTAACAAATGTTAGTGAAGAAAACAATACTGTTTCCCACAATTCTAACTTCTAAAGGCTAACCTAGGGAAGGGACTTTCAGCATATGGAACTGAAATCTATACAAAAGTCATCTAACTACAGCCCTCTACTAGAAATGCAACATAACTAGGTCACTCTAATTAGGTGACAAAGACCAGCTTTGTCAATAAGGACATCTTTGGCCCTTCTAGGCTAGCTTTGAGTTTTCAATCAAAGGTAAAAATGTTCAGTCCTTATTTATATATATAAATCATGACAGGTATGTCTTCCTAGCAGCTGAGCTGGAGAACACAAAAGGTGAGGCCATACCTCTTCACACTGTCCTCAGCCTTTGTTCAGGTCAGCCTGCCATATTCCTGCCCCCAGGCTTTCCCTAAGACAGAGGTCATAATACTGATTTAGCTCACAAAGAGGTGAGAAACAACTAACAATCATTAAAAAGCATAAAGCACTTTGCAAATACAAAAGTGCTATTTTGGCATCTATATAACAACTAGAAAACATTCATTGCTTGTGCTATTTGGCAATTTTGCATTTACACCTCTCCCTGACTTTGCCCTCTTTGTGTAAAGCCTTGAGATTTCCACTGTGCTTCCACATGAAGGAAAAAAGAAATTCTTGCTTGAACTAGATCCCTCATCAATATGAATGGAGTTGGGGGTGAGTGGGTAACAGGGCACACATGCAAATTGAAGGCAAAAAGACAAAGGAGCCTTGCATTCCAACTTGTGAACTTTGCTTTCCTGGATTTTTCACATACTGCCAGAAAAACCTCCTAAGCTAACTGACTTCTGTAGCAGATCATTAGGACAGCAGTTTACCATCTGGGGTTCACTTGAAACACAGACATCAAGCTGACCTGGGAAGGGGAAAGTCACACATAGCTGAGATTATTCCATTTTCCTGATCACAAGTGACACCTTAAAGAAATACTGGGCCTGGCACACACCTGACACAGGGCAAGGGGCAGGTCAACCACGTAGATGATTTTGACCTAGCACAAAGTTAGAGGGTGTTCAAGGCAGTACCAAGGAATCAGAAGCAAGAGCAGGATTTTTCAAGAGATCTAAGAACCAGTTACAAATGTATTTCTACACCCTAGAAGTCGCCCCTTGAAATGAGGTTGTGTAGTTTTCTTCCCAGGTTCCCTTGGATGCCTCAAAATAGCAGCTAACTGTGGCTCAGAGAAAGGAAGAGTATACTAAATATCCTCTCCTTCAGGATGGACAAGAGTCTCCTCGATTATAGCTGATTTGGGGGCTCAGGGCAAACACTGGCTTACCACCTGGTTGGACCAGTTCAGAATTATTTATACCCGCATTATACTTTATTCTCACTCCAACCATACTTCCTCCCCTGATTCCCCCAGGTCATTGTAGCCCAATCTACTCTATTGCCTGCCATCCTGTTTCCCACCCCCACTCTCCAAACCCCCTTCCTCAAGGTCCTCAAATCACCTATTCCTCCAAGCCCCTTCACTCCCTACAGGGTATATTTGAGGAAGTCGTTACTCAAACACATCTCCCAAAAGTTTCTTGGAGAGGAAGCAGGCAAAAATATAGCACCCCAAAATAACAACTCTTACTGGGGACTCCTTAACACTCAAAGGCTCCTCAGTCACTCTCAGCTTGCCCCTCCCGCCCCTTCCCTACTTCTTTCAATAGGGTTTGTCCCCAGGACACCTATTCCCTACATGCTTCACAGAGGGCGACCTCCCTCCGACCTAACCCTAGCACAGGTGCAGCTTCTGGTGCTGTGCAAGGTGCGTTTTGTAGCGGAAGCCTTTGCCACAGCCTGCGCACTTATGCGGCTTGTTGCCAGTATGGATGCGGCGGTGGCGGATCAGGTGCGAACTCTGGATGAAGCTCTTGCCGCACTCAATGCATGTATAGGGTTTCTCGCCGGTGTGCGTGCGCTGGTGCTGCGTGAGCGTGGAAAAATCGCTGAAGCGCTTCTCGCACTGGCCGCAGCGGAAGGGCTTCTCGCCTGTGTGCACGCGCAGGTGGTTCACCAGGTGCGAGTTGCGCCCAAAGCCCTTGCCACACTCGCGGCACACATAAGGCCGCTCACCCGAGTGCGTGCGCTTGTGCGTGAAGAGGTGCGAGCTGACGCTGAAGGTCTCGCCACACTCTGAGCACATGTAGGGCTTCTCTCCTGTGTGCACGCGCTGGTGCTTCACCAGGTCCGAGCGCCAGCTGAAGCGCTTGCCGCACTCGCTGCAACCATGAGGCTTCTCGCCCGTGTGGATGCGCTGATGGTTGGCCAGATGTGAACGGCGCACGAAGCCCTTGCCACACTCCCCACAGGCAAAGGGGCGCAGCGCTGCAGCACCTGCACCGCTGGCGGCCGCGTGCGCACGCCTGTGGCTCAGCAGGTGCGAGCTGAGGCTGAAGGCCTCACCGCACTCCGGGCACGGATAGGGCTTCTCACCGGTGTGCAGGCGCCGGTGTTTGAGCAGGTCCGCGCGCCAGCTGAAGCTCTTCCCGCAATCCGCACACAGGTTGGGCCGCTCGCCAGTGTGCAGGCGCAGGTGGTTTGTCAGGTAGGTGTTGCGGCTGAAGCCCTTGCCACACTCCCCGCAGCGGAAGGGCTTCTCGCGCGGGGGACGGGCCAGTGCGGGCCCAGCTCCAAAGCCCCCCGCCACGCCCATCCCCATCATCCCCACCACAGCTCCGCACTCGCCCGCCAGGCCGAAGGGCTCCAGGCTGGCTACCGCAGCGGCCTCTGCCAGGCGGTGAATACGCTGGTGCTGTAGGAAAGCGGCACCTGGGCTGAAGCTCTCCCCGCAGTCGGGGCAGATGGTGGGCGCATCCATGATGCTAGCCACCAGGCTGTCTAGCTCCCCGAGATCCATGGCCATGGGGTGGTGGAGGCGGTGGAAGCGGCGGTGAGCAGGTTTGTCACCTCGGTGGCGACTTCCCAGGGACAGGTGGCGCCTCCAGGGAAGTATGGGAGGTGGCGGCTGCTCTTCTTCCTCTTCCAACCTATTCTCTCCAGTACTTTCCTCCTCCTCTTCCTGGGGACTCCGGGATATGCTGTCTGATTCCGACAAACCTGGGAACATCCCCATGTCAACCACACCAGGCTGATCATCTTCCTCATGGAGAGCAACAGCTTCCTCCTCACTCAGCAATCCCTCTGCAACATTGAAAAGAAAGCAGAGGGGCTTAGTGACCTAGCGCTCAACAAGACTAGAGGAAAGGAGCTTGGACAATAAGAGTGTGGGGCCAAGGTGTAATGCACCTCCCCCAAATGCTCCCAATCTCCACCCAGCCCCTTACATTCCAGCCCCGCTCCCACTAGGTTCCTCCCAGAAAAGGCCTAAGGAGTGTACACTCTCTGCAGACTTTGCTACTTTGTTTTGCAGTTCTTCCGCAGGCCCCACCCAGCGGAGCTATCTGAATGCAGGAAATGGCAGAGTCTGTGCCAGGTGGAACTCCCTGGGATCTCGATCTCCAGAGAAAAGGTTTTTCACTGCTTGAGAGCTACCAGTGCCTTGTAAGGCTATTGCCTCAAAAGAAAAGATCGGCATAGCTAACCACACACACACACACACACATTAATTAATTAATTAATTAATTAATAAAACACTTGGCCTAACCAAGCCCTAGACCGACTTTCAAAGGCAGTCTGAAAAAGAGGTGGCACGGGAGAGGGGCAGGAGGCTAAAATGAAGCAAATAAATTCCATGCATATATGATTATGAACCCAGCTTTTTAAAACTGCATCCTGGTACAGCTTCAGGTGAAACAACAAACTAAACTCACCTTCTGGTCTTATCTATGGATGGGGGAGGAGAGTGATGACAGAAGGAAAGTGCATGGAGGCTAGAGCTATTGAGCCCAGGCTGGAGGCTGCTTCAAGGATACACACCTGTTAGTGTTTAGCTACTTTATCCCCAAGCAGAGGGCACTGCAGGAAGTTACTCAGTTATGGAAGGCCACAAGCTGTGTGCACTGTGGGGGAGGGCAGCAGGGAGTCTGGGACTTTGTCAGGTGGTGAGGAATGTAACCTTACAGTCCTAGCATAGAGTATTTCAGCTCATTTCTGACCCTGGGGCATGTACTCAGCTGGATAAAGTAACAAATGCCCAAAGACAGAAACCAGGAAGTGGATAAAGATCCAGCTCTCAGGTCAGGAATGGCAAGGGATTTTGTAGAAGAATTGGGCACTCGGGGAATTAGTCACATGAACCTAAACAGGTCATTTAACACTGTTTACTTGTCTGCAGAGGAGGTATGCCTGCATCTGGATACTGTGCTCAACACTGTGCTCAGTAACTCTTTAAATTCAGCAACTCATTTCCAGCGACCCTTCCAGTGTCACCTGAGTAACTGAAGTGCTGTTAGAACTGGGAATTAACAGTAGTGATCTGTACTGTAAAGTGCTGTACCCATGAGTGAGCCTCTTCACCAATGCCTACCAGCACAGCCCACCTCAGACTGGACTGAAGAAAATAATGTGCCCAAGGACCAGTACTAGAAAGGCTATGTTAGTACAGAATCCTGCTTAATGGTCTCTAGAAAGCTCCCCCAAAGATAATGCTGCCCCTGTTTGTAATTCTAGAAAGCAAGATGTGAATGTGAGTGGGGGAAATTCCCACCTCCTCACCTGTGCAGATGTTGGACACTACTTCCCTTCCCCTGAAGTCCTCACTTAGAGCTTCCTCCTGGGGGTTGGAGCCCATCTCCAGCTCCAGGTGGCCTCTTTCTTCTGCATCCTGTGAATTCAAGCCCATTCCTCTTTCTTCTGGGTCCCCTTCCCTGTCCTCCGTGTTCTCAAAATCGGAGCCCATCGCTCTGTCTTCTGAGTTCTGGTGTTCACACATACCCTGGTTATCTTCTTGTTCCATCTAGGAAGAAAAGAACAACAGTGGTGACCAAGGATCCCTGCTCCAGACAAAACACACAGAAAAGTCACTTCAGCATCCACTTTGCTCACCATGTCTGGCCTTGATCTCCCCCCATCCAGTAAAATTTCTAGACTTCCAAGTCCCAGATGGCAAATGTCTATTCCCCACCCTGTGTAAATTTAAGGTAAACAACTGGGTACAGAGGAGGACATCTGGGTAGTGGACGAATTGTAGCAACCTCATTCTAAGGCCATGTGCAACACTCACTGGTCCCAGACTTGGTCTGCTTCTGTCTATGAAGTACATATTTATTAGTGTGGCCTTATAGTTTAATCATGAGGTAGATATCCCCATTTTTATAGCTGAAAAAAAAAAGTAAAGTTCAAAAAAAGACCTGTTAGCCTAAGGCTCCATAACTCATAAATAGAGGGAAGATTAGACCAATTTTTCTAGCTCAAAATTATATGCTTTCCTTACTCTTATTAAGCTTGCCCTCCACAAGCCCATAACAATCTTATGAGTACTTGTGCTAATTATGAGAGGGCCTTTATGGAGCCAAAAAAAAAAAAAGTACAGTCAGGACACAAGGATAACTACCATCAGTATGGTAACGTCCTACATAAGACCATGTCTTCAGTGGCACCACCAACCCTGGCTTTGTGGCATTGATCTGCTGCATTGCTGGGAGCTGTAAGCCAAGATGATTCAAGGATGTTAGCAGGTCTGTTGGGGGCAGAAGGCAGAGATGCAAGGGCTTCCTAGATTAGAAACATTTCTGTGCTCCTAATTACATATTTTGCAATATCTGAATCGAAAGTAAGCTTTAACAGGAACATGCATGAGGGACAACTGATAACCCTTCTACAGAAGGGGCCAACATGTGAACTACAGGGAAAAATAACATCAGATTCCTAAGCCTTTTGTAGATGTCAGGTTTACATCTCAAATACAAAGGGCCCCCTGCCAAGACTGAGCATTTGAGCCAAAAATAATTTATTTCTGCCATCCATCACTCCTACAGCTTGGCTCAAGGCAGCAAAACGGTTTCTAGGTGGAGGAACTTGGACTATGACTTTGCAAGAGACTACCACTTCAGCAGTCCACAAACAGGAATGCAAGAATATGGCTGATGAGTCCAGTCCCCAGTACTACCAAAAAAGAAAAAGAAATAATAATAATAATGAAGGTTGAGCAAGACTTTTCCTGTCTCTGTTGAAGTCTTCCCTGAGGCAGCCCTGGCTCTGCAGACCCTTTGGAGTGGAAAGCAGGAGTTACAGGCAGAGGAAATTCCTCTGGCTGGGTCAGCCTCAGTGTAGAGACCACAAGTCACTGTCAATTAACCTCTCATTGTTTCGGAGTCCTCATCATTGCAAAGAGGGTAATGTTACTTAACCTTGCTCACAGGGAGAGTGTCAAGAGGAAACTAATTAGAGATCACTTTGGAAAACACTACCAAGAATAATTGATGCTTTGAGTTTTACAAATGTGAGATTCACATCATTCTCTTTTTAAGTCCTAATGCTGGTCTAGCATACCTCAAAGACACACTGGCTCCTCTACAATTCTGCATACATATTAGCCTGATAACGTATTAGATTCTTTTCTCAGCAGTGAAAAAATATAGTCCCTAGATTAGAATGAAAAAAAAAAATCAGGTTCTTCCCTTAAATGTTTTGGATGCCTGAGCATGATCTGTCAGTAGCGTCCTACAATGCATCTGAGTTCCTTTAGAAAGTACATCATTTAAAATACCAGGTTCCCAATACTCCTGATTCTTCTTTTAGGCTGTAGGAGAAAAGATCTCCTTAAACCACAAACCTTTTCAGAGGTGTATCCCACAAGAGACTATTGTCCCCAGTCACTTCAGCTCATCACTCTTGCCTTCTGCATGCCAAACTTGGACTCAAGTCTCTCTATATAATGTTCTTGAGGTGTGGACAGGCGACAGTCAGCTTTGCTAGTGTCAGAAGGCAGCGGAGGGGATGGGTGGTAGGGAAGGGGGAACTAATCAATGGTTTCTGCCAACTTGAGGCCAGCAAGAACTTCATACCACTAAAGGAATTAAGCACATCACTAGAAACTCATAAAACAGCAAGGTTCAGTGCCCAGCATGGCCTAGATTTAACTGCAGCTCTCTACCCAGAAAGGTGGGACCAACCTGGTAAGCAAGGAGCAGGGCTTCTCCTCTGATGCATTTTAAGGACAGCTTCTTAAGAAGCGCCTCAGAAATGGCAAGAGTGGAACAAGAGGACAATCGGGTTTGTGATTTCTTGCAAATCAAGAGAGCAGTCATACCAGAGAAGTTCAATTCAGAAACATGTTTTTTTCAGATTTAAGGGGGATAACATGCATGCGAGAGCCAGAGTCCAAGTGGCCGGCTCAGGGCTGGCATATGAATTCACAGTGCTGCCACGCTCAGAATCAAGGCAGGTTCTGAGCTCCCCCCACCCCCACCAAAAAAAAAAAAAAAAGGTATGCTCTGAAGAATGTCGAAGCTCCTATCACCCAGAGGCAATGTTCATGGCACAACTACTCCAATCTGCTCAGTGCAAAACTAGGAAACTATACACCTAACAAATGTATTCAGTTCCATTCATGCCATCACACACTGGGGTTTAGGCAACCATCAAGTCATGGAGAAGGACATGTGGGGGTAAGGAAGGGGCAGAGAACCTGATGAAAGTAGGTGGTTTAAAAAATTACCTCTTTTGTTTATTAATAGATGTATGTTAGCATATATATTTGCACATGAATACACAGGCTCAGAGAGGGTGACTAGAAGAATATTTGTTAAAATGTTAAAAATCTCTTGTTTACCTCTGGGGGATTTTGCAGCTATCAACTCATTTAAACTTAACAAAAATCCAATGAGGTTTGGCTATTTCCAACTTCACAGACCAGAAACAGACACAAAAATGATGAGGCCAACATCATACACAGACCTGCAGAGCAGGGCCCATACCCTGGAAATCCAGAGCCAGTGCCCACATTCTTCAGCAGCTTCTCTAAGTTTGAAAAGTCATGTCATTTTGTGTGCATCTGTATTTTCTACAGTAAACATGCGGTTTTTAACTGGGAAAAAGGCCAATGTTGTTGATAACATAAGTTATATTAAAGAAAAAGCCCTATGATTTTTTCTAGAAGGAACAAAAAAAGGAAGACGAGGAGTTGTGATCTCCTCATTCTAGAAGACCTGCTATTCAGAAATGTTATCTCGTCAGTGGTGTGACTGAAGTGTCAGTCAGCAGATATTCAAGCACACTTTGTTCCAACTCCTTCCCCACTCATTCTGAAAATAAAAACTAGCAATATGTTTTCTTGGGCAAGGCCACAGTTGGATAATGAGTGGGTAGAGGGACAGTTTGGTGGCTTTGTGACCAGATTAACCTGGGTTCAAATTCTCTGCTCTTTGCCAGCTATTTGACCTTGTGCAAGTTGCATGACCTTGTGCAAGTTGCATGACCTTGTGCAAGTTGCATGACCTTGCTGAATCTCAGACACTATAGCCTTAAAAACAAGGATGCCCCCTCCTACCTTGTATGGGTGTTTGAGAACCATATAAGATTGGTGTTTTATAAAAGCCACCGGCACCTTAGAGACACAATCAGTAGTAGTTTGACTACTGTAGTAAACTTTAGCCTATTTCTTGATTTTAAAAATTACACAGGTTCACAGCTGTTTTCACTGAGAATGGCCTTCAATGAGTACAAGCAGAGCTTCCCTCATTCCTGCTGCTGAAGGCTTAATGAACAACCCACCAAATGAACAAAGGAGCCGGGGGGGGGGGGGGGAAGCTAGCAGCATAGGGGAGCTAAGGAGAGCAGGAAAGTTTATAGCTGATGAGGCATATATGGGTGTAAAGCTGAATGAGGAACAGGCAGGTGCTTCAACAAACCAACACCATCTGCAAGGGAGCTAGCCACCCCCTAGTCAGAAGGAATAGAAGACTAGAACAACAGGGAAGTGGGAATAGCCAAGCAGACAAAATTAATTCCACATTTTATTCTAATCACTGATAGAAACAAAAAAGCTGTGGGAGAGAGCCCTGGTTGGGAGCAGCACAACCACTGTGCTGTGTGACTGTGGGTAAGTATTTGCCCCCTCTGGACTTCTACTCAATGAGGCATTTGGGTTTGGGTTTGAATGTGCCTGAGTCCTCTTGTGGTCATGTGTCACATACTCGGGTAAGTTCATCTGAAGAGGCACTATGGTCAGGCTCAGGAGACAGCTTCTGCCCCAGCGTGGCAACTCACACCCCCCTAAAGATCCCCTTCACCTTTACACAGCCTTTGACTGCAGATCACATCAGTTAGGGTGGCACTGGGCAATCTCCCCAAGACTGTTCCAATCCCAGTTTCTAGAGCTTAACAACATTTTTGTGCCCCTTCCTTTACCCCAAAGTCTCGAGTCAATAAAGAAAACTCATCACCCTATGAAAATGCTCAAGTGCCCTCCAACCATACTCAACCCTACTGAAAATACTAATCAGCTCACCTGAAGACTTTGCTGCTGAGTGGAGGTAAATGTGATAAAGTATCTTTGAAAAAGAAAAAAAAAAAGAGAGAGAGAGAGAGGGAGGGAAGTGGGAGAGGGGAAGTGAAGCCATTGTAGAGCCAGAATTAGAATTTAACCTGAGTTTATTATTTTCCCAATGGCTACCTGCAAAATCTCTTTGATTTGAACAGAAGCCCCACTATGAATTTAACTGACTTTCCTGTGAAGGGGTTGGGGTAGACAAGCACACACGTCTCTCACACCTTCCTAGATTTTACAGAGAGAAACCAAGACTAGGAATAATAGCCAGTGTCTCAGCCTCTCAGAGATAAATCACTGGTTGCCCTCTCTCATCCTGGGAGCATTTTGGGTTTTTGTTTTTTTCTTGGACCCCGCACTGCTCTGCCACTTCCCTGCCAGGAGGTAACCTACTGCTATCAGGCTGGGAGCCAGTGTTCTATTGGAATAGATCTATGTGTCTATACCACAATTTAACAAGTCCCTCTCCACTGGCTGGTAACTGCAGGTAACTTGGGGTGACCATTTTCTGTATGAAGAACACTGAACAGGTGGCGTATCTCCTAGCCATAGTCAGGACTCCAACTGTCTTTTGGCATTTTCCCCTCCTCCTCTTCCTCCGCATGGGAGCAGCTAGTGAGAGCCTTGGACTGGGGAAGCAAAAGGGAAGGCAGTTGTGTCACTACACCTGGCAGCACCAGGCAGGGGTGGCCCAGTGGGGAAGGAGCCGGCCAGTGTGAGAACAGACCTCCTTGCCCATCCCTGAGGACCCTCGAAGCCCCGGCTGGTCTGGTGTGCTGCTGCGCCCAGTGCCAAGTGGCCCACAGCCAGGCCGGCAGGGCTGTCATGTCAGGGAAAGGAAGCAGCCGGGTGGGCAGAGGGCCAGGAGCAGCTCCCACTCAGCCGCCTCCAGGCTGCAACTCCTTTCCTGTCTCCCACTCGTCTTACAGGTCCCTTCCTTACCTCCTCAGTGGGGTGCTGGGAGGGCCAGCAAGAGTTGGAGGCATCCTCCTGCCACTTCCCATACCCCCTGCCCACCACCGTCTCCCAAGGGAATTTTCCATACCAGAGTCCAGACAGGGACACCTGATTGGATTAGAGGTCTGGAAAAACAAATTTAGCCCGTGGTTCAAAGGTTGACTTCAACACCATAACTGGGGTCTAACCACGGATTCCAGGGGGTTAATCATTTGTCCATTTAAAGCACCAACCGAGTAAACCGTCAACTAGCCTCCCAGGGGATATGGCCGTCAATGTCCCAGCCTCATGGTGAGCTAACATTCGGAAAGATCTCAAAAGACAAAGCTACCTGGCTGTCTTTGCAGGGCATGCCTCTTACACAGACTGTGTCCCCATCTAAGGTAGGCAGCTGACTGTCCCCTTAGCTGGCTTTCCAGGTCACACACTCAGATCGTCCAGCCTTAAAGGCCAGCTGCCCAAGTGGCAGACTGCATGTAAGGTGAACATTAATTCCAGACAGAGAACACCAAAAGATGACTGCAGCTAAGTGCTGACCACTCTCCAGACAGCAAAAGCTAAAATAATAAGGTTTCTGCTTTGCGGTTACTGCTGTTTTTTGTGGGGAGAGGGAAGCCCAAGTTAACAAGAGGAGGTTACTTGCCCAACACACACAAGGCACTAGGATCAGGACCCAGCAACACACATACATACAACCAAGGCAACAGAGAGATCAATCCACAAACCCACAGGTCAGCGCCAGTCAGACTCCTTCCAATCTTTGTGGTCAAGATGAGGACAATGTCCTTGTAGCCAGACATTTCCTGTCCATTGATGGGGTGAGGGCCCCTCAGTTTGTCACAGCTGCCAAGCCTCCACCACCATCACCACCCAGTTCCCTCTTTGCACAATAAGACTTAGTGCAGTGCAGAGGCAGATCTTTAGTATACTTGAAGTTAGACTCTCTGCACTCAGGTGAAAAGTCACCAAAGCTAAAGGTCCTCATGCAGACATGACTCATCTCTATTCTAAATTTACTGATGAGAGCATTCTACCTGAAACAGGGATTCCTTCTGTAATTTTTTTTTTGTCCCCTGTGCTTGAAATTATACCACAATTACTACCTTTATACATTAACTTGTTTAGTTTTTTTTTCTTTTCTTCTTATGAAGCAAGGGAAGCCCAAGGCTATCCTTAGAAGAATGATCCTCACACAAGCTTTACAGCAGCTGGCTCAGATGTTCAATGATTGTATTCATGAAATACAAACATTTTGGAAATCTCTTGGTTCAAACTCCTTTTACAGAGAATAAACTGAGGCAAAGAAAGGGAAAGTCAGAGTTACACACCCAAAGGCAGGTGATAGAAGAGTTGTGGCCAGAATCTCAGTATTCTCATGGCCTTGCCAATGATCTTTGCATCTCTTTGATATAAAATGCCTCCTTAAAAAACAGTCAAATAAATCTGGGACATACATCTGCCCCTTTTATCCCTTTCCCCTCTGTTTGAGTCAGGGTTTTCCCAGAGAAACAGAACCAATGGATGGATATATATTTAGAAAGAGATTTATTATAAGGAATTAGCTTTTGCAGTTATGGAGGCTGGCAAATCCAAAATCTACAGGATGGGATGACAGGTTTGAAGACCAAGAGTAGATGCAGTTCTTGGCTGAGGGCCATCTGCTAGAGAGAACCCTCCTTGCTCAGGGAAAGCAGTCTTCTTGTTTCATTTAGGCCTTCAACTGATTGGATAAGGCTCACGCAAGTTGTGGGGGGCAATCAAGCATTACTCAAAAGTCCACTGATCTAAATGTTAACTTTATCCAAAAACACCCTCACAGAAACATCCAGGATGATGCTCAGCCACATATCTTGACACGCTGTGGCCGAGCCAAGTTAACACATCAAATTAACCATTATATATAGCTTAATGAAAAAGCACAATCAGCAATAATCCCATCGTAATTCAAAATTTACTTCTGAAAACATCTCCTTTTTCATGAAAACCATTATTACATACAAATACTTGGATAGAGTCTCAGAGTTATGTGCTGAAGAGGACAGAGGGGAAGAATCAAGATTAATCTTAAAGTATATGCAGGCATGAGTATGTGTGCACCAGAAAGAGGTTCAATTTAATAATCCATTTCTCTGAAGGAAAAAGAGAAAACATGAAATGTGTAAGGATTTACGCAAGATGTGGAATGTTAATGAACAGCCTCATATTAGAATCTTGTGCTAAGGTGGCCAGATGGGGTCAGGTAACCTCAGGAAAGCTTTCCCAACCCAGAGATTCTGAGATCCTCTTTCTACTGGAATGAACAAACCTCAAGAGAATATTCCTCGTTCCTCATAACAAAAAAAGAAGTGTTGGGACATTTGATCTCCTGCCTCTCACTGCACATTCAACAGGAAAACCCGCCCTTCCAACTCTCTGCCCAGAATAACTGGTGTTACTGATGAGGAATGGCTGGTGTATTCCGGCCAGCCGGGAAATGCACCCCGTAAGCGACACTTCTGCATGTAACTGGCCAAGGTCTTCCCATAAAGAGATGGCAGGGGGAGAAAATGTAAAGAAATCACTTTGCACACACTTAAAAACACATTTTTAAAAATAACATACTTGTTTTACTCATTTCCTTAAAAATAACAGATAAGCAAAACCTAGATTATAGGAAACTAAAACACATAATCCAGCTTCTTCAATACCAATATAAAACGGTGACAAAAATGGCAAGAAACAGAAGGGAAACCTTATGGGTCAAAAGCCTAAGTGCTTATCAACCAACCTCACAGCAGAGACCTTGGATGAATCCCAATTCACATTAACAAACTATAAAAACAAAGTATAGGACCACTGAAAGAGCTGTGAATGCTGATTAGATATTTGCTATTAAGCTTCGTTTTTAAGGTGCTGGTATTGGATTACGTTGGCAAAGATTTCTTACATCTTTAATACATGAGATATTTACAGGTGAAATGACACGTCTGGAATTTGCGTCAGCGTATTTCCAAGGCAAAGGGGAACCAGGATGTGTTGATGGAACAAGATTGGCTGTATACCGACCTTGCTGAGGCTGGATGGTCGTATGCGTACGTTTATACGTTCTCTTCTATCCACTATTATATTTGCTATAAAACTTACTAAAAGAAGTTTTAAAATGGAAATCCAATTATATTTTTTTTTTCTGAAACTTAGGATCGATTACATTCACTTAAATTGTGAGCAAAACAACAAAATGTCAATGATTTCCACAAAAGAAAGAGCCGGCTTTTACAAACCATACCAAATCAGGAATGATTACTGTGCTCCTGGATAGAGCTCACGGGAAGCAGGGACTGGAGCAGTGAAGTAAGAGAGCAAGGAAAAAAAAAGAAAAAAAGAAAAAAAAAACTTAAATTTAATGTTTTTGGGTCTCTCCCCTCCACCACATTTTATGAGATTCAGGAATAGCTATTGCATCCAAAATAGAATCAGAATCCTGTTTCCACTTTCATCTACTTTCATATTTTTAAAGAACTCAAAGGACGCTGTCAGCTAGTGCTTATTCACTTCTACCATTAATTCAGTAATTCTAGGCTGAAAATTCAAAACCAAAGGGAAATAAACCAGGCTAGAGGCCCACGTTATGACAGCCTTTGAGGAATTAACCCAGGACAGTCACACTGAGGAAATGATGGGAGTATCCCACGGATTAAGTACTTCAGTAATGGATCATCCCCAGAATGATCTTCTAAGGGAATGAGAAATGTAAGGGCATGCAAAGATGAAAGGGAGGATAATAGCAAAAGTGATGTATGAAAATGCAATCTCCTTGAGATGAACCTTGTCAGGAACAGAATTACTTTGCTAGCCAAACCGGAGAACTTTAAAATGTAGATAGTGTCCTCCTCAGAGAAATTCAGAGGATGCCATCCAAACAGACTCATACCACAGAACAGAGACAGGAGCTAGAATGTATGTTCCCACTTTATTTTAGAAACCAAAAGCTTGCAGATTATTTTATTTCAGGCAATGGTGCACACAACTAGTCTCCAAGATGCTGCTTTGCTCTAGGAAGTGATGAATCTGTCTCAAGAAGGAGGCTGTAAGTGTCCAGGGCTCATTCATATCTTGAACATCACAGCCACCGAGACTCTCTGCTTGGTCTCCTACGCCCCTCCTGTGCTAGTTCCTATAGCATTTCCCAAAGAGCAACAGCACCACTCAAACTTGTAAACAGAATATTCTTTCTGAGGATGGGTTCTGGGCCTGGGTTCTAAGCCTTCAGAGCTCAAGAATACCCTGAAACTTATGTAAATGTATATGTGGACACTTCTTCCACAGAGAAGGCTCACAGCTTTTCCTTGGACCCCGAAAGGATCCATGGAACAAAGACAAAACAAACACAAATCCTGTTATAAACCACCGCTCTAAAGAACCCATAATACATTATAAATCATTAAAATATGTCAGAAGTGATCCAGAGTAGTTTTGGGGAAGAAGAGCAACTTCGCCACTATGTGCCACGAGATCTTCTGTTGGGCTGGCACAGAAGAGAAAATAATGGCAGTAAGCCCCAAACCAGGCAGCAGCACACACCCATCATGTGCAGGGGATGGAGAACGAGACCCCTAGCAACGGCAAACAGTCTGATCCAGTCTGTGATCTCAGCTAGCAGCCTATTTTGCAGATGAGCCCAGCAGAGAGGATCTAGAAAGGTAAAATGAATTACCCTTTAGCACCCCACATAACAGCAGACATGAGCTAGCATCTCAACTTTGGTTTCCGTCACCCCTTGATACTCAACCTAGTGGTACTTGGCTAACTGGGACTTTGAGATGTCGGCCTTCCAGCAACATTAATTCACCTGCTTTTCAAATCATCTGTGTTATCTGGCAGGTATATTCAGAGAGAGGGAGTTTGCTCTTAGAGTCACTAATACACTGCCTCTCTGGGATATATCCCTAATTTATAAGTCTGACCCCGGTTTTATGGGTCCCTAGCTGCTTACTTGGGCTGTGAGTCAAATCACATTAATCAAACCATAACCTACTCAATACACAAAATGCTTTTGTTAGTTAATCCTCTTCTCGGAGGAAAAAGAATTAAGAATTAAAATCTGGCCAAAGTCACCAACTCATTCCTAACAAACCTTCAAAATGTCAGCAAAGTCATCTTGCCAACAAATAATATCATGAGAATTCCTGGGTAAAGAGGGGATTCTAAAAGTTACACAAAACTCTCCAAGAATGAGAGACCCAGTTCAGGATTAACAGGAAGTCAGGAAAGTAAACTGGGGAGATCAAGCACCCAGCTCATCCAATATGGGTCTTTAGGGCAAATCTTGTTTCTTGGATTCTTCTTTTCCATGACATCTTTTGCCCTGGATTTCATAGTTTGCATTGAGCCAAGGACATAGCTCAGTGGTCAAGCACTTGCCTCATGAGGTGCAAAGCCCTGGGTTCAATCCCTGGAATCACAAGAAATCAATTAATTACCTACTTTATCTTCCCTGAGTGGGAGGAGGTATAGAAGTGGGCTAGGTGGCAGGGCAGGCAGCTCATAAACTAAACTTTGCTGAAGAAAATATATAGGGATGATGAGAAAGTCTCACCACTTTGGATTAAAAATTTCTTTAAAAAACCTCCCATTTTCCAGATAAGAAAAATGAGGACCAAAGAAGATTCACACTTTGTTGGAACTCATGAAGTTATGCAGTTGGTGGAGAATTGGGACTACCACTCAGGTTACCTGATTCCTTCTATGCACAGTCTCCCTGCATCAGGTGCTCTCCAGCCTGCTCTGACATATTTATGGACAGTGCTCTGACTTGCATGACAGCATTTTGCTGCTTGCTGTCTTCCTTCCCCCCCCCCCATCTCTTTTGGACTCCTGCTAATTTTTCCCCCTATTGTGACTTCAATAAGTTTTCTTCTAAAAAAAAAAACAAAAAAAATATTCTTCAAACTTCTATCTGACCCTCTGAAATGGGTCAGATACAAGTTTGAAGAATATTTGTTAAGTCAACAAATATTCTGCAATGGTCTCTGAAATGATCTCTGACTTAATAAGTTTAGGATTATCTATTGCTTTCACTAGAGAAATACAGAACATCTTGTTGGCTAGAAAAAGCAGCTACTTGAATCAGCACTTACTTAATAGGGTGTCATGGTAAACACCAAATAACTTCAAGTCCTTGGTATAGTATCTGAAAGAAAAGTCAGAGAGAAAGGAACACAGAAAGCCCGTGAAGCTGTAGAGGTGGTGCAGATGGTACTGATTATGCTATTTTAAAACAATCAGAGTTTTTTTGTGGTCGTTTTGTGGTGCTTGTCTAGTGTCTTAAACTAAGCTACACCCCTGTCCATCCAAAAGGATCTTTAAAGACATTCTTCCATTTTAACTATGAAACCCTCTCATTAAAAAGGAGACTTTGTCATCCTGCAGTATCATTTTTTTTAAATGCCTAAAACCAGTCATCAAATTATATATTCTATAACATTTCCTCCCAGTGTCATTTGTTTTGGCCAAATAAGTTTTCATTTTGTTTTTTGCTTTTGGTACCTGAGAATTGAACCCAGGGGTGCTTAACCACTGAGCTACATCCCCAGTCCTTTATTTTATCTTATTCTTTTTATTTTTAAAGAGGGTCTCACTGATTTGCCTAGGGTCTTCCTAAATGGCTGAGGTTGGCTTTGGACTTGTGATCCTCCTGCCTCAGACTCCTGAGTTGCTAAGATTACAGGCATTCACCACTGTATTCAACCCAAATAATTTTGGGTTTGGGGGGACTTGGGATTGAACCAGGGGCTCTCAATCCCTGAGCTATTAGGGATAATAGGAATCTGCCTTCCTATTTTTAAATTTTATTTTGAAACAGATCTTACTAAGTTGCTCAAGCTGGCTTTGCAATCCTCCTGCCTCAGCTTCCCAAGTAGCTGGGATTACAGGCGTGTGCCGCTATGGCCAGCTAAGGTCAAACAGATCTTACAGGCTACTGGGTAAAGGAGGGAAAGTTGCCAGTGAGCCCTGGTCAAAGCTAACATCACCCCACACACCAGTTTCCCCATGAGCCTGGGCTTCCAGGTATGAGCCAGCTCAGCAGATGATATTAACTGCTAACTTGAGTAAGCCAGGCTCCCATCAATAGCAGCTTTATTTTTCTGTCTTCCAAATCCTGTGGTCACATCTCCTGTGATCTCATCAACAACATTGTAAAAGGGTCTGGCATTGTAGCTCAATAACTGGCCACACAGAATACTCATCAAGATGCTCTCCCTGGAAATTCACTCTGTGCTTGGCCTCCCTCCGACTGAGTACAGAAGAATGAGCGATGATCTTGGGAATGAGCGATTCTTCTTGAACTTCACACTCTACCCTGTCTTCTCTTCTTACCTTACAAAACAGGTCAATTTTCAAGGGTTTGTTCCACATTTTCTTCTGTCTCTCTCAACGCTTTGACATCTTCCTGTAGTTTTAAATATGCACCTGCTCTGACCAGAGGCCTCACAAAGTTGAACCTCTCACCACAATCCCAGGCCTGCACTTCAGATCTACATTCCTAATGACGCCCCAGTGTTATAACCGAAGATCCAGAGTCCCAAAATGCTGCCATGCACATCCCAGGTAACAAGGGACAGGAGGCAGCTGAAATAAGGAGAAAAGCACACGCTATGCAGTCAGCAGCCCTAGGTTCATTCAGAAGATGGCCACATTTACACGGTATGCCTCGGGGACACTCATTTCACCTCTCCCAGTCTCAGTTACCTCATGGACACAATGTGCCAGAACGTCACCTTGAAAGGCTATTGTAAAGATTAAATGAATTTCCATTTGTAATACGAGTATCTGACCTGGGTCATTTCAAAAAGTTCCCAAAAGCTTGCTACAAATCAGCTCGGACAAGTGTCCACTCCTGTTAATGCCTTCTTTGTTCTTACTTCTCAGGCTCAAAACCCTGGAGTCAACTTTGACCTGTTCCTCACCCCTTTCAATCAAACCAGTTGCCATATCCTTCCTTTCTGAATTTCTCCTTGTATTTCATTGCCACTCTCACGGGAGTGGACACTCACCTAGTTAACACGTCACTCCCTTTATTCTTCTTTTCAGAAACCCCTAAATTACTGCACAAGTAGCACAGAGTCCAAGTCTCAACAAAGCAGCCCCTGACTCTCCTTCTTCACCTTAACCCCCAGCCCCAAAGGGCTGCTCTGCATCCTGCAGAAGGCATCATGTTTTCCTGTCTTGCCACACCGTCCCTACTCAAGAAATCTGGGATGTCTCTCCCTTCCTGGAGGGAAGCAGGACCTATAGTGGTGAAAGGTTTGCGTCTCAGTTTTTCATTTAAAAAATGAGGTACTGGTGGAGCCTACCTTATAGGAATATTTTAAATGTTCAGAATTATTTCATTTTGTATGACTCCTTATGATATACTTTTCCTTATCTTATTCTGCCTCATATTAGTTTTAAAAATAAATATCAGACTTAATAATTCATACCTTACTGTGGGCTCTCCCTCTCCCACGTCACCTCCCAACCATAAGTTCCTTGTGTTCACAAGTGGTGTTACAGTGATTCCACCACACCATGGGCCTTCACGTACTTCTTGAAATGAATACAATTAGGTGAAATTATTTCCTTCCTTGGGTCTCAAAGGGAAAAATGAAAGAGACTAGGAAATCTAGTGATCTAACCAAAAATCACAGCAGGTAAGACAGGGCCCCGGAAATAAGCTAGCTCTCCTGACTGCATCTGATAGCCCGTCAGCACCCAGAGCCAAGCATGCTTAATTATCCTGCTTAAGAGGCAGTCATGACAGAAAGTAGCAATTAGCTTCAAAAGTTAGACAGAACGTTCTCCAAAAAGAATTCTGCGTTCCTTGGTCAAATGTCAGCAGCCCTTGTCTGTATCAAATGGCCCTGTGGGTCCTTCCTCCACTCCCAGCTTTTAACCCTTGCTTCAGCTGTGCAAAGAATGGAGGTAGTGAGAGCTGTTTGTGTTCATGGTGTAAAACGCTCCTCCACTCTCCCCTGATCTAACAGATCAACTGCTTGTCTCCCACCCAAGGAAAGATGGGAGTAGCAATAACAAGAAATTAAAATGATCAATGAGAAAAGACCAACACTCAATATTCTCAAAACAATAATGAGACCAAGAAAAAAGTAGGTAGCGGAAGATGGAAGGCAGGGAACTCATTCAAATACAGAGAAATTTGTATTTAAGAGTATCTATTTAGACTGAAATTAATGCTCTGGCAGTTTAAGGGTGTTTTATTTTATTTGTTGTTGTTTTTTCTTATAACCAGTGAGGCACAAATTTCTTGTTTTTCTCATCTTACCTACAAACAATCAGAAAACCCCTTTCTTAAAGGCCCAGAATTAAGCTGTGAAGCAAATATAAGCCCTTAAAGAAATCTGTAAAGATTAAATGCCATATAGGAAGTGGTGACCAGAAATATCTAGCAAACCACTAATTTGACCAATAAACACAAGTACCTATTAGGGAAATAGAACCAACCATGTTCCTATGGTAACTATCACCTGGCCAATTCTGATTGTGGCTACACTATGGTTCAATTCAATTGACATTTACCTTATTTAAAAAAAAAAATTTAAATGGGGGCGGGGGCACGAAGGGGTGTTTCTTCAAGTCTCTCACTCTTTGGTTTCCTATATCTGGTTTTATATTTAAAACATCTCTGGTACATGTATACCCCCCCCCAAAAAAAAAAAAAAGAAAAGAAATGATGAAAATTCATATACGCAAAAGAGAATAAGACAAGAAATCACAGACTGGAAGAAAATATTTGCAAAAGGAGTATCTGATAAAGGACTGCCATCCAAAATATACATAGAACTCTTAAAGCTCAACAATAAATAGCCCAATTTAAAAAAATGGGCAAAAAAGATCTGAACAGACATCTCACCAAAGAGAACATATAGATAGCAAGAAAGCATATGAAAAGATGCTCAAAATCATATGCCATTAAGGAACTGCAAATTAACTACAAGATGCCACTATCCACCTATTAGAATGGCCCAAATCTAAAACACAGACAACATTAAATTCTGGTAAAATGTGGAGCAAAAGAAACTTTCATTCATTGCCAGTGGGAATGCAAACTGGCACAGTCACTCTGAAAGTCCAAGTTTCTTACAAAACCAAGCAGGGATATAACTCTGACCATAGGATCCAGCAGGTACACTTCTCGGCATTTATCCAACTGAGATGAAAATTTATGTCCACAAAAATTACCTGCATATCTTTATAACAGCTTTATTCACAATTGTCAAAACTTGGAAGCAACCAAAATATCAATTCATGAATGGATATATAAACTGTTGTACCTCCAGACACAGGATATTATTACACACTAGAAACAAATGAGCTGGGTATGGTGGCACACACTTGTAATCCCAGAGGATTGATTGGGAGGCTGAGACAGGAAGGTTGGGAGTTCAAAGCCAGCCTCAGCAAAAGCAAGGTGCTAAGCAACTCAGTGAGACCCTGTCTCTAAATAAAATACAAAACAGGGCTGGGGGGTGGGGGGGCGGTGTGGCTCAGTGGCCAAGTGCAACTAAGTTCTATCCCTGCTACCCACCCTCTCCCCCCAAAAATGAGCTATGAAGCCAGAAGGAAAGGGGAAGGAATCTTAAATATATGTTATGAAGTTTTAGGAAAATGCCAATCTGAAAAGGCGACCTAATATATATATATAATTCCAACTATATGACATTCTGGAAAAGGCAAAACTATGGAGAGAGTAAAAAGATCCATGGTTGCCAGGGGCTAGAGTGAGTGAGG